GAGACTATCTCCAGTTTTTTTAATATGCTTAGTGTCAACCTAGTCATTCTGTGTTCCCAGAATATCCTTCTGGTTTGAATGCCAAATATAATAGAGGAGTTCACTAACAAGAAAGCTTGACCTCTACAAAAACCATCCAAAGTAGTTCACTTCTCAGATTTATACTCTTGGTACTTTGTTGACAACACACCTACTTGTGTAGGACCAAGTATATTATCACTCTTTGATGACTTTTATAACGCTAACTTTAGTTCAGATTTTTGGACTTGTTAACTAAAGGATCGTCAGAAAGAGTTTTGATAAAGTTTAAATTGATTAGTAAATTTTTGATAATCATTAAATTTTATAGAATTTTATTAATAAAATTTTACAAAATCTTATAATTCTCAAAATTTTCCTAATTAATTTTAACTTTATACACTAATTAAATTTGTTTAGCATCTAAAAATACATTAAACTAGCAGTTATTTTTATTCTACTTGAAATTTGAAACAAAGATGCTTAATTTTGGATTTTTTTGATCAAAAATTCAAAATTAAGCATCTTATTTCCAAATTTCAAGTAGAATAAAAATAACTCTGCTGATTTAATGTATTTTTAGATGCTGAACAAGTTTAGTTAGTGCATGAAGTTAGAATTAATTAGGAAAATCTTAAGAATTATAGGTTTTATAGAATTTTATTACAAAATCTTATGATTCTCAAAACTTTACTAATTAATTCTAACTTAATATACTAACTAAATTTGTTTAGCACCTAAAAATATATTAACCCTAGCTGCCGCAACAAATCGTCACAGCATATTCTCGATTTTGATTGGCTAAGAGCAACAATCGAAAAATTTAACCAGAATTGATTTTTACTAAAGAAATCACAGCCGCCCATTAAGTGAAAATTGTTTCTGGGATAATTTTCCATTTGCGGGCCTATTTCTTTGAAAATTTCTATTTTTGGAACGAAAAAGTTAAAAAGTTAATTCTGGCCAGAAATTAGTAAACAATAAAGTAATGCGGGCCAAAATTTTGTCAAAATCCAAGACCTTAGCATCACCAACTTAAAAAATTTTGCTAAAAATAGTTCTTGCTATTAAGTTAGGTTAGAAAGTGCCTCTATAATACCAAAATTTCGCAAGAAAAAATTTTGTCAATGCGCAGAAAGCAGTATGATAGATAAAATATTGAGTTATGACCAATTTTTTGGGTTGTTTTTTGCGTTTTTTTGTGATTAGCTGGCGAAATAGTAGCGAAATTTTTTAGGGTAGTGCTGCTAGGGGGTTGCCAAAATCGAGGATCTGCAGTGACAATTTTGTTGCGGCAGCTATGGTTGATAGATATTACGGCATTGCGGCATTACGGCAAAAAATACGGCACATGCCGTTGCCGTATTAATTGGCAAAATTAATTCTACCAACAACTATAGCTGCCATCAGTAACAATTCAGTAGCATGGTACTGAATTGTTACTGAGTGGCAACCGAATGAGGAATCGGTACCTGAATGATGGCTGAATTATGACTGGCTGAATTATTGTTGAATTATAACTGAATGTTTTAATTTCGACCAGTGATATATTATGTGTCGATATGTGTGTTGTTATTTATCCATAATAAAGGTATGTTATGGAGTGGAATCGATTCTATTTTAAGAATCGATTAATCAAATTCTGAAACATTTATTCTACTTTATATTATTTATATTTCGATCTAATAATAATAATTTCTAGATTATATTTATACAAAAATTTGATACAAAAAAAAAATAAATAAAATTATAGAAAAAAAGGAAAAGTTAAAAAAATCCCATAATATAATAAATAAAAGGCAAGAATAAATAATTTAAAATGTAAAATTTAAATAATCTATTATAGTAAAATTGCAGATAACTATAAAGATCCAATAAACCAGATAAACTATGCAAATATAGTGTTGAAAAGGTAATTGCTAAATAAAAAAGTTTACTATCTTAATAATTTGCATTTGTCTATTCTTAGGAAAGACCATAGATAAGACGTCTAATCTCCTCTAGTTCTGTTTTATTAATTCCAGTTCGTTTTAATCTCTTATTTCGAGATAATAGACCCATACCAAAATAAGAAACAATGAAAAAATACCAAATAAGCTGCATTGGAATTCCAAAAAAGACAACTATCCAAGATTTTTGTTTAAAATACCAAATTGTAGCATAAAATATAGAGATTTGATCTTCATAAATAAATCTTTCGTCTTCACCTATTACTAAAGGAATTAATACTTTATCTAAAATATTCCAAGCAATAACAGATAATAGAAAAAATGATGAAATACATATAAGAGCAATATCTATAACTATAAATATATAACTATTATATTCAACAATTAAGGTAAAAATTGCAATTGTAGCTAATATAATAAAAAGACATGAAAATATAACAACCCATATAGACCGGAAAATCATTGTATATTGCATATGCCGAAGTAGTTTTTTTATAAAATATAATGGTTTTCTGTGTGTTCTTTCATAAATTTCAAATATTGTGTCTTTTTTTATTTTATTAACCATTATTGTATATATATTTTCACTTTCAATCTTTAATTTATCTACTTTCTCTACCTTTTTGCTTAATTCTTCATCTTTATATATATTTCTAATTTCTTTTAATTTTCCAAATATATTTTTTTTATTCTGATTCTCTGTTTCTGCGTCAATTTGTTCATTTTCACTATTCATTTCCTCTTTATTCATTTTTGTGTTTAGGTTTTTAATATGCTTTATCAAAGCATTTATTTCATTTTTTTTCACGTCAATTCCTTCTACATTCTTTATTTCATCGTATATTTCATCTAATTCGCGTATGTTCTTTTCCATATCCTTTTTTAACTTTTCTTTTATACTCTCTTCAATTTTATCTCTCTTATTTTTCTATTTTCAAGATTCCAACACTCTTCATTTCCAGTACTTGATTCTTTTCCATCATACAATTCATTTGGCGTTCTGTCTTTCATAAAAAGATCTTTAAGAGACCATAAACTTCCCAAAAGTGTTGCAATACTTCCGGTTCCAAAGACAGATGTTGAAATGATATTTCTAACTTCTGATCTTACACCGTTGTTTTCTGATATTAAAAGAAAGATTCCAACTGCAAGTGACAGTAAACTAATAATTGCAGAAAGAATAGAATATATATTGGACAAAGACCGAAGATACTTCCATCTATCAAACTTTTTTTTCAATCTAGTAATATAATATAATTCTTCAGAAGATTCTTTAGAAACAGAACTAGACGGATCATTATTTTCATTCTGCCGATTAATATGGTCATCGTCAGAAGTATATGTACCTGACATGTCTGTTAATTACTAATGATAAGTTTAAATTTGTAAAAAAAATTAAATGGTAACAAAATTTTCTTAAAAATTTTGATGCACAAGTAAGCTTTGTTGAGGGAATTAGTTCAAAATAGATGTTCAAATAATCTTTTAGTTCTTTAAGACTTTTTTGACTTTCTTCACAACATTGTTGAATATAGAATTGAATTTCCTGCATCATTGTGCGCGCGTTGATATGTCCAACATGTACGTACGTACGTACGTACGTATGGTGCAGGAAATTTAAAAACCTCAATCTCCATTTTAAGATGATGCATAAACTAGTGGCTCAGATTATCAAACTCAATAGATTGATTGAGATTATCAAACTCAATAGATTGATTGATAGGCATAGAAATAATGTGCCAAGAATAATATGTACTTAATAGGTGCTATTTTATGCATACAGCTGAAACTTAAAATAAGCCGCTACTGAATTTAGCTTATCTTCAATGTGCTGGCCGTTTATTGCTTTATATAAAGTGATTGAAGTTTTTAGATTTCTTGCACCGTACGTACGAACTCATACAGGAAGGTCCCCAAAATTCCGGGTCGGAAGGCATCGGAATCCTGATCGGCTGGGTCGGAATTGATCAATTTTGCCCAAGATCACCAAAAATTATACTAATGAAACCATAGCCGTTCATTAAGTAAAAAATGCCCAGCTGATAATTTTGCTATAGACTTTGTCAACTAGTCTTACTAAAAGCCGGTCTATCTCCGATGCCTTCCGACCTGGAATTTTGGAGATCCTTCTGTAAGTACGTACGTACATGCACTTATTTATGTGGATGATACAATGTGACGGGTATATAGTAAAGTAGTACGGTACGGAAACGTAAATTAGGACGGACGTGTAGAAATTATGATAGTACGTACGGTTGTAAAAGAAAAAAATCGTAAAACCCAAATTACTTTTCCTATAAATCCTAACATGAAAAAAGAACAATACTAGCGCTCACCCTAACCCTAACATGAAAAAAGAACAATACTAGCGCTCACCCTAACCCTAACCATCAAAAAGGGTTATTTATTAAAATTGAACTTGCAAGTCTATATTAACCGTACGTACGTACGTACGATCAAAACTTGGTATAATTTTCGTATGTCCGTCCAAATTTGTACTGCCGTACAGTACTACTTTACTA